GCCAAGCACATCCACTCAAATCCACTAATGCCCGTCAATGACGTCATGTACAATGACGCACATCAGTGACGTCACTTTGTATGCACGCATGTTCTCCTTGAACCCTCGCAAAGCGATATCACATTCTCTACTGATATCGTAGCGACTATGTTCATGAATGGCGCTACAATTAAACCATTCTTGCATCGACTGGTTCGCGGTCATTTGGAAGTTGCGTCGCCTTTACATACACTGTGAGAGATTCTTCTCGCGATCTACTCTGATGGATCTTGGTTAATAGAAAATGGTGCATCGTGAATGGACGTATCAAATACAATTATGGTTTGTATAAAAAAAACCTCGTATTATAAGAATCTTGCACCTAACATGTAAAGGAAATCATCAAGCGACACCCAAGTGTGGAGGAATATAGTACCACGTGACCTAAATACAATGTACGTCACATTAGAATTATATATTCTATATACTCAGTAACTTTATTTAACCCGGAAATTAATTAATCCAGACGATTTAATCAGGCACTACGCTGTCCTGAATCGCGAGGTTTCGCTTTATGCAGTATACATATTGTGCTTTGTTGGTATTTATATCGTCCACACACCAAACTCCCTTTTTGCGTTTTTAATTTTAGATATTATCTTTCATACACAATTTTGTTCCACTCAAAATTATGTTCTCATTGACCTTTCAGATGGTCGTTTCTTTTGGAAAGGTTTATCAGAAGAATTATTACCTCGTTACTCCGACAGATCAAGGCGAACATCGGTACGTCTTGAAGACGTATCAGGTTTCATGTCTAAATCACTTTCATAAAAATACGCATGAACAAAATTGAAGAACACATGAAATTTAATCACACAAAAAACGATAGACTGATTCGTGTTTACAATGATTGCGTTTCACCGTGATATGGCCAAACCCTGCTTCAATATGGATTTCGCTTGATTTGCGTAAACGAAATATATGCATGTACGATTTATTCCTTTATTTGTGATGCGTGGAAGAGCCTTGATGATTTATCACATAACTATCAAAATACAGCAGATGAACCGCTTTGTCAAACAAACCGAACAACGCGTTTTGTTCTTTTAAGAAAGTTTTGTTTTGCATGTTAAACAAGGTATCAGACTGGTTCTTGTCTTAGGCTTTTGTTCATAGACTGTCGGTTTAAACGTTAACTTTCTATTGTTCAAAACTATATGAACATAGAATCGTTGGCAAAGCGCTCCGCCGACTCGGATTTATTTGTTGTATCGCAAGTACTGTGAATGGTTCAAACAGATTATTTACTCTTAATAGGAACGCACTTTGGAGTTGTTTGGGCTTGGATTTCTCTAATGGTGAAACAAGGGTCTCGTTTTCTAGTTCTCACCACGACGTGCTCAAAAGATGGCAATTTGCTGTATTATTACGCGCACGATTTATGTTATTATCTCTACCGGTTTTCAGATCCTTCCGCGATAAAAACAAAGCCACCACCGTTTCAGGGTCATGGCGCGTACAATATTCCTTCATCTACAATTTCGGGTGTCGGGTGCCGCGCTAATCCCTACGTTTCCCAGTATAGAATTTCTACCCTGTCGAACCGACCGAGCGGTTCGGCACATATCGGGCTCTCCGATCTCCGCAGCAACGTCAAAACCCACCTTGGAAAGACAAATGGCTGACTTGCGCAGCGCAGGGGCCAGTTGGGTCAAGGCGCGCAGTAATGTGAGACGCCGCGCTACAAACTATACCACGTGAGGACTACCCCCTGCTGAGAGGACCCGGATGAGCGATGAGCGGAACGTGTGCAAAAAAGACAGCGTTTGGTCGACTGGATGTTTCCGCATCGTTGGGCGGTCTAATTCGTTCTTCCGGAATTTAAAAATCCATATTTGCGCTTGTTTACTCTGACATTGGTGTTGTAATTTATTTCGTATGCAATTTCGCTGACAGCGAGTTATGTTTTTTGGATGTACTCTTTCCATCGTGTGCTTATTAAAATGAAATTGATGAACACGGATCAAGGTAAATAAACTCACAGTTAAGCTTCCTGCTGCCGTTTTAGTATTCAATCCACGTAACAAATTGTTTTAACCCTTTCACAAACAACTGCTGTGAAATTCAAAGTGCAACAACAACTTTATTAAAGCAATTCCCAGTCGTTATCCCCCAGCCGATTACAAAATTAATATCATTTGGATGAATTAACTTTGCATAAGTCTGCACCAATGAGCGCATTGTATTTTTGAGTCTTCAAACACTTTCTTATATATTATCTTACCATGTCTTGCGATTTGGATCAATATTAATTAAAACATAAGAAGGAAGATGGTATTTGATGGACATGAAACTGTTATGTGTGCAAACCACATCTGAGGCCTGATGGAAACAGTACCGTGATGGTCACCTAAGACGCAACGACACGAGTTGCTTCCCTTTTCTACCATGATCCGCAAATTCTGGTTCGAGTCCCACATTCACCTCAATACTATTCATTGGCCTTCATGAATCACCTCGGGATGGTATACACTGTACCGCGATAAAGACATCACGATCAGCATCTGAAACAATATTTACTTCTGATACATTTCTGTATGTGATTAAACCTAATTTAAACGCTTATGACGAAGACAGTTCTAATCCTGTAAAAGGGGGCACGGGTGGCCCAGTCGCCTAAGGCGCTGTGCAGAGTTGCGTCCCTTGGACACGCCAGAAACCTATGATTGTGGGTTCGAATCCCGGTTCGCCCCTATGAACGTCTAAGATCTGCATCACTTCGGGCTTTCCTCCCTCATTAAGCTGACACGCCGCGATATAACTGGAATACTGTTAAAAGCGGCGTTAAACCCAACTCACATACTCACTCACTAATCCTGTAAAAAAAACATGATGCCAGGTCCTTGTTTTGTATTTGTCATCGCCTTTCTAAACCATAATAATAATAATACCATAATAATACCATGATAATAATAAGAAGTCCATTTATGATGCGTCAAAATTCCATTCACCAAATGAAAGCCCTTTTCGCTTCATTATTATAACACCAGTCAGTGGATCAGTGTGAATTCGATTCTCAGCTCCCTGGAGCCCTAGAAGGTTAACAGTCACATTACAATCACATCCTGCCGGGTACCCATTCACTGCTGGATGTATAGAGTCATATTTCGAAAAACGATGCCTGCCTAAGGACATGCCACATATGTTACGTGTGCTTCAGTGTGAGGCAGGACCGAAGACCTAGAAACTGTCAAGAGTGAAGCTGGCGAACACGGTCACCCATCCACCTCCTCGCCGCGACTACTGTTGTTTACAATCGACTGATCTGTCACCTGTGCTCTGTACCCCTATGGAGATGAAATATTGATGCAGAGATCGACGGCATGTGACAGCATTTTGTTGCGCCATATTGGACTTGAACCCGGAACCTGATAACGTCAAGGACGAACGCGCAACACAGACACCTACACAACTGGCTGATATTATCAATAAATGATTACTGCAGTTTAATACTACCCTTATCACTTTTATCATGACCATATGGATTCTTAACTGGCTGGGCACACCAGAAACCTATGATTTGGGGTTCGAATCCCGGTTCGCCCCGATTATGTTTCTAGGTTTGTCAGCACCATGTCCGTGCTCGTGGGTTTCACCGAAGTGGTAAACGTCTGAGACCTGCATCACTTCGGGCATTCCTCCCACATTAATCTGACACGCCGCGATATAACTGGAATACTGTTAAAAGCGGCGTTAAACCCAACTCACTCACTCACTCACTCTTTACAGGCACTCGCCCCCAACCAATTACAACTCATTATTGGAGTTTATGGTTCAATGTAATATCTTTTACATAGATGCCACCGTTTACAATCTCTGTAAAAAATATGCCTCTCATCTTCTCACACCGGACATATTAAACATTAATGTATGTTAATCGAAATAAGAAAGATGGTTTATTATTTCATGTAAGCAGCATCATTGACATAGAGAAATTATTCAATTATTTATCGAGTGACATCTGAAAGTTTAGTCTCTCCGGAGCATCCCCGAATACAACTTTCCCACGGTTATACTGTTATCCCGTACAGGAAGATGATAGGAAACTGTCGGCGTCCCAGGAATGTAGGTACTATGCAAAATGTAGCAGTGCATTTAGTATTCATGACACGTCAACGTGAAACATGCTAGCCCGAAGACGCAGGCTCTTTCTTGAGGCCGGCACTGTCGGACTATGGTGTATGATGAGAGTAGAACATGTGTTGATTTGTCATTGGTTTGAATGTATGTTCGTTACTTTCAAACAGCTGATTTTGGATTCTCAGAATGTGTTTTATTGAGTTGTCTGTCTCGGTTGTTGTTGATAATCTAAGCTGTACTTCGTATTTAGTGAAACCTCTTTAAGTCTTTACTAGCGGGGTACATAGTCTCCATAAGGAGTCGTGACTAGCAGGGTACATAGTGTAATAAGGAGTCGTGACGAGCGGGGTACATGGTGTCCATAAGGAGTCGTGACGAGCGGGGTACATAGTGTCCATAAGGAGTCGTGACGAGCGGGGTACATAGTGTCATAAGGAGTTTTCACAAGCGGGGTACATTGTGTTCATAAGGAGTCGTGACTAGCGGGGTACATAGTCTTCATAAGGAGTCGTGATTAGCGGGGTACATAGTCTTCATAAGGAGTCGTGATTAGCGGGGTACATAGTCTTCATAAGGAGTCCTGACTAACGGGGTACATAGTATGTATAAGGAGTCCTGACTAACGGGGTACATAGTCTTCATAAGGAGTCGTGACTAGCAAAGTGCCTCTCTCTCTCTCTCTCTCTCTCTCTCTCTCTCTCTCTCTCTCTCTCTCTCTCTCTCTCTCTCTCTCAATGAGGGTTACCCTATATAACCACACTGGTCGCCTTTCTTCATCCATTTACAAAAAGGTGTATTAGATGTTCGTACATGTTTTTTGGACATATGATAACATAATAGTGGATGTTTTTTAAATATTTTATCAACTTTCGTTGTAGTAATGCTTCTCTACAAACGATATGCCGTGGTCCTATTTCGTAACCGAAAACCTGCACCTATTAAACAGGTAATAGTGAAGCTTATTTGTGCAACATTTTACACATTAACATACATATTACCCACGGATCATCGCCGATACCAATTACATGAAAAGAAATATCTGCATTATTCAGGATCGTTTCCAGTTTGGGCGAGCTCAGTTTCCAGTATTATCTGAAGTTAATGACGTTTTATATCAGCGTTAACAATGAGTTGGAATTAAAATCAATTATCAAAGGGATTAGATAAACACAGGGCTTATCGTTTTAATAGAACGTAACAAACACCCCGAGCTGTGTCAGGAGCTTGTGGTGGATGGTGACGGTCCTTCACAACACCAGACAGGCCGTCTACAAGTTCGCGATGCTTGGTATATTCAAGCCTCGTTTTCGGATTCTTCACTTCCGTTTTGGGTCATAAAGTGCCCGGATGAGTTAAACTGACTCTCTTTCGTTTTCCACGTATTTAAAGGGACACAGGCTCCGTTCAGTCCAACAAACTGAATTTGTACGATGAATAGTGAAACTCATTAATCCGGACGGTACCTACGCTGTTAAAGCATCCGTATCAACGACTTGTCTGGGTTATTGAAAATCACTGGTACGTGGTAATGCTCCTTTTTGTTGTACGTAATAAATAGAAAAGTCAAAGTAACTACGATGTCAATATTCATATCATAAAAAGAAGATTATTTTTTATCGTAGTAACTTTGTTTTATACCAGTTTACAAACAGGCGTATTAGGTTGTAATGTAGCGCTTAGCCCACTAAGATACCATTCCCCAGTTTAATATGGATACCCGGCACAGGCACAGTATACTGACTCCGAGCTGACCAGTCTTGTTTTATCCCCTTTTTGCCAAGCACCAGGCAGGGAAACAATAAATACCATATTGACGTCAGGGTGCAAACTAGCCGGGTCCCAACTAAAGGAGATTTGTTGTATACAATTGGAGGGTACTATAGGCCAATTTATACATGTGTCTTGACGTGTATACATAGATAATCCACAGTTGTTGGTTGAAGTTTTGTTTGTTTGTTGTTTAACGCCGCTCTCAGCAATAGTCTTACATTTTGACGGCGGTCTGTAAATAATCGAGTATGGACCAGACAGTCCAGTGACTGACATCATGAGCATCTATCTGCGTAATTGAGATGCGATGACATGCATCACCCAAGTCAGTGAGCTACACCCTGGATCCCTTCAATCGACGCGTCAATCATGGGTTGTTGAAGACTGACCGATACTAACCCAGATCTTCACGCGGCTGTTTGTAGACGTGAAGTTGTTGATATGTTGACGTGTTGAATATTACAAGTACGAACAATATTTCCCGTGGGAAGACATTATTTAAATGCTGAATTACAAATAATTTCAAAGTCAAGCTTATATGATTTTTACTAGAATATGTGCATAACATTACATGTGTAATCTATCAAATATATTCCTTGACCCAAACACAAATATATTTGAAATAATCAACGCGAGCCTTTAATTCCAGAGTAGGTATTAAAAGAGTTAAATTTAATCATGGCTAAATCTTGCGTGATTAATCAGAGCGTATTTGACCGAGAATTATTCTTAAAAACAATTTCATGTTTCAGCCAAGCGAGACGAAAGTGAGGTTGCTTAGCCACCGCGCAGCGACCTCTACTGGGCGGGAAGAGCAGGTAATTACCACAGGAAGACATGAATGCGCATGCTCAATGGAAATTAGGGGTTAATTGAGGGGTCACTGCGTGTGTTAGGTGAGTTCGACTCATATTTGAATTTTACAAGGCTCCAATCATGATCATGAATGGGCCCCTTTGTACCAGTCTATACGAAGAGCCAAGGCAATTCTGTTCGCTAGCTTGAGTGATTACTGCTAATATGAAACTAAATAACGCAATATTTAGAAAAGATGGCGCTGTGTATCAGGGGATTTACTCCCAGATTCGACAGAGCCACGGTGCAAACTATTTAACAAGGTCTCTGAGCAGAATTGATAATCCTGTATCAAATATTCTATGCAGCTTGACACTTTTATGCTCGAATGAACTACAAATCATTTAGTGGATTATATCGTCCTTGTTTGATTGATTGACATCGAGAGTGGTAGATTGCAATAAATTTCACATCTTTGATTTCATGGCAAATGAAATTTGTTGATTTATTTTGACGAGGGTAAAGCACAGGACTGAAAAGTCTATTGTGATTCCGAACCTTTAATAACTGTTCGCTATAATTATTTGATGCTAATTTTCGCGTCTACTATTGTCAAATGTGTGTGATGTTTGGTTGCAATCTATCATTGTATATTTCTCATCACAACGATTGTATGTCAAGAAGAGCATCAAAGCATCTACCATCACCTCGTTAATTATCTTATCTTTTATGTATGTAGAGCTTATCGTGATGTTATTAAAATTCCAGTAGCACCGTAATCATACGATTAAAGTATTAATTTACAACGCAATTGGTATCAATAGTTCTCTTCATTCCAAGAACTGAAAAAAGAAATTCAAATAGAAAACGTATTGGTCATCAGTCGAAGTCGCTAAACGGCATTTTCTCTTGTTCTAGATGACGCGTATTGTCTCCATTGACGTAGCATGCTGGAATGTTTGTATTGCTGTTAAATGTTTTAGCGTACAGTGTTGTATGGCTTGTAATAAATCAGATATCATTTGTATTATTCTTTGTGTTCTCGTCGTTCTGTCACATCCCCGAGTCTACAGAGATGCTCGTCCCTCTCAATGTAACTTTCCGACTCTCAAAGTGACCTTCTGAACAAATGGATGTTAGTTTGCAATTTTAACAGAAATTCTGCAACTTTCAAAGTAGTGTTTTATATGTTAACGTCGGGGCAATTAAAACTTACTGGAGTCCAATGGAAGGCATAAGAGTTCCAACAATGGCCATTTCTATGGGCGATATCAAACAGTCTAGTTGTTATGAGTTCGCCTCTAAAACATATATTATATGGAAGTCATATAATTTACTGAAGAATGGGTTGAAATTATATTATTTTCGTAATGCTATAGAATCTGGGGTTGTTTTTTTTCGGGTTGTTTTGTAGTTGTTGTGTTGGGTTTGTATTGTTTGGTGTGTGGAAGGTTTGTAATAATGATTTTGGGGATGTATTTTGTTTTGTGTTAACACAGTTAAAAACAAAATGTGTTTCGGGTATTGATATTTACACTATTTCCCTATTTTACACAAACACAAATAAATAACACAATAAATGTATTATTTGGCCGTCAGGTACGAGGTGGGATAGGGAGAGGAAAAGATAAAGAGAGGGGAGGGGGGGGTGGGGGGTGGAGAGATGATTTTTTTTTCAAGATAACATTCAATAATAAGCAAGTTCATGAGCCAAGAGGAAATATTTTTAAGTATGTTTGTACACTTTATCGATATCACTCATGTTGAAAAATATTTGATACATGCTTCCTGAAAACCACATTAAGCCTCAACTATACAGTTAGTGTCGTTTTGAAGTCCAATGCATGCAGATGTTTAAATGAAGACGTCTTTCAGTTTCATATAAACGCACTTTCAAAAAATAATTTTAAAAAGCTCAATTCTTTAAGTATTCAGATCCCGTTAATCAAAATGGGACTCTTCCTACATATAATATTCAACGCCCGATAATAACCAGTCTCAATTATCCGACGAAACAGATTCCATTGGGCGTGAAAGGCAAAATAGCGGTGACAATTAAAGGAAAATACGACTGTCTTTTACATTTTTATGGCTAAATTAAAACGTTTAGTGTTATTTCAGTGGTAATGAGTAGTTCCAACGGGTGAAGGAACCGCACAAGGAGACGCGTGGATGCCACCAGGTAGTCACAATCGTATCTGCGACACCCGTGTAGAATGGTGAATGAGTGAGTGTAGTTTTAACGTCACATTAAACAGTGTTTCTGTTATATCATCCCGCGTATCCTTGAAGTAGGAGGATGAAGCGAGAGGATGTTCATAAGCACCTATTACCTATCAGGATTCGAACTTACGATAAGCGTATCCGGGTATAACTAAGGGACCTAACTCTGTGTTGCGAATTGCCTCAGATGACAGAGACTTCCGTGTACATAGAAAAAGAACAGAAAACAAAGTTGCAGGATTTATTACTATAGAACAGATTAACTGAAATGAATCGAACGATGCAACATTTAGTGAGTGAGTGAGTACGGTTTTACGCCGCTTTTAGCAATATTCCAGCAATATCACGGCGGGGGACACCAGATATGGGCATCACACATTGTACCCATGTCGGGAATCGAACCCGGGTTTTCGGCGTAACGAGCAAACGCTTTAACCACTAGGCTACCCGACCGCCCCTGTAACATTTAGACAACACATACTCTGTTATGACCACGAGCTTATAATTTATAACCATTTTTTATATCTTAACTGGACAAAATGTAATATTCATCCCCTCCTTACGTTGCATGTCATTTACATCTATTCGCAAATTAACCAACGCTTTTCTCTTCTCCGTCTTAAATCGGGATAGCAGAACTTCAAGAAATATTTTCGAAACAGTCGGTCACAGAGAACATGGACCTCTGCGGTCATGAATACCTAATGTAATATGATGTACGTTCAACGTGTTTTTCGATCAATGGCGAAAACATATTTATCATGGATTAAATGATGCAATGTTTACAGCTTTGCACGTATAGATGTGAAGATATGTTTCCCTGTTTATTTTTATAAAAATGCACTTACATTTCTGAACAAGGACTGGGGTGTTGAATCAATCATTTCCAAACAAATATGTAAACATTTAAGGTAATGAAACATTATTGATAAATGCTCGAACATCCTAAACATTGACGGCGTTTATTAACCCCAGCAGTTTATGGTGGCCCTGTTATTAATCATAAGCATGTCAATTTCAAAACCAAAGAGCGGTATGCATTATTGAAATTACAACCAGGTCATAAATCACGCTTAGCAGGGTGACGGGCACTTGTCAGCGGCAGCCCTCCAGGATCGTGACTTGTAAATATTCCATGAAAAAGTCCAGGAATGCCATCAACGTTTCCAACCACCTCTGTCAAACTGATTTTGGGCTCCGGAGGAATTCGGAGGAAATAATTAACACGAGAGAATTGAGAACACGATCCGTTATTAATAAACTATAATGTCTGGACCGCACAAAGCGAGGCTCAAAGACAACGGACAAGACAGTATTTCTCGATAAAACTCACATTCCGCTTTAGTGTGGAATGGCAAAACTTTACTGAAACGAAATACTATTTATTGTGCTAACTTTTATGATAGTCTAAGACTAATATAAAGAGAACATTTATGAGTTTGTTAGCCTAACTTGTATTTTAAATACGTCGCATTGAAGATTATTTTAGTTACGTCATTGCTGTTAATGGTGCTGTTGTGAAAACCCAAAACCAAGGCAGGTCTTAGGCTTTTACTACTTTAACTGGATCCCATGATCGCATGTATGGTGCTGACAGACCAAAAATCATAAAAGGGGTGAACTTGGCATTCGAACTAACGATTGGCAGATCCAACGCAACTCTTCACACCAATGAGGCCACATAGCCACCCTTGAGATGGCTACAAAACAAAACCGAAACTTACAAGAATTCGATAACGAACGGTTTCATATTTATTTGTTTTAGTATCAAAATTCCTTTCAATGCTTTGAGCCAATGAGACGCTCCACACAGCTGATTGAAATTTAACTCAAAATAGAAAAAAACGTGGAATTACTTGAATGACAATAACAGAGAAACAAGTTGATGAGGATACCAGCTCTTCAAGTGTTTTACATAACAACGTCCATCTCGTGTATCAGCTGATAACTAAGAGGCTGAAATATACTCCATCTAGTTCTAATACATACATTGATTTGCGTTAACAAGCCTTCATGAACATTGTTTATAAATATGGAATATGTTTCTAGCAACCGTCGACAACTGTAGTAATTTACAGAAAGCCAAAGGGGATACTGATAATGCTCGCTATAACGCTTGTACATGTACTGTTGTTGCATTTAACAAAGCACAATAAGATGTGAGGTGAAATGGGGTTTAACGTCGCGTCCAAGATTATTGCACTTATATAGCGACGTGCATGCACGTGTGTGTGTGTGTGGCTGCTTGTACTAGTCCGGACTGATGCCGATTTATAGTGATAGCACACTGAGATACCATGCCGCAGTTTAACATGAATACCCCACTCAGTCACAGTATACTGACTCCGAGCCGACCAGTCCTTGTTTAGCCCCTTAATGCCGAGCGCCAGACAGGGTAACAACAAGTACCATCTTTAAACGTCTTTTGGTATGACGCGGCCGGGGATCGAACCCCGAACCTTCCGCTTTCCGGGCGGACGCTCTACCACTAGATCACGGAGGCGACCCAAGTGCAGTAACATGTAACTGATCGCAATAAGATGTAACTAAGTGCAATTACATGTAATTAAGTGCAGTGACATGTAACTAACTGCAGCAACATGCACCCAAGTGCAGTGACATGTAACTAAGTGCAATAACATGCACCCAAGTGCAGTGACATGTAACTTAGTGCAGTAACATGCACCCAAGTGCAGTGACATTTAACTTAGTGCAGTAACATGCACCCAAGTGCAGTGACATGTAACTTAGTGCAATAGCATGCACCCAAGTGCAGTGACATGTAACTATATACAGTGACATGCAAACAAGTGACATAACATTACATGCAACTCCTTTAGGTCTGTCAACGTAGTTTTGGCTTGTGTGGTGGCCTTGTGGTTTAAGCGGTCGCTCGTCATCTCGAAGACTTGGATTCGATTCCCAACATTGGTACCATGCCTGAAACCCTTATTGTGGTCTCCCGCCGGCATATTGCTGGAAGCAAACGATACTTTGGGTGTTCCTCCGCTATACTATAAACAAAACCGACAAACCATTCACTATAATCTGAAATCTCCACTGTCCATTGTACGATTACGGCTATATCATAAGCCTTTGTTCACCATCAAATAGTGATAATACCAAATGTGAGCGTCTCTTTCCTAAACGGTGATATTCACAAACACATGCAAAGGAAAGTCAATTGTTCACCTGAACAAATACGGGAACATTGGTACAAGTCAAAATTGGGAATTGCATCGGGTATCATTTTGGTCACTTATGCATCAAACTTAGAGACCCCCTACACCAGTCTTTAATGAAACTTTTTGAAAGTTTCACTAATGCCTTGAATGCTGTAAACCTCATCAAATAATTTTGCTCTTCGAACCCAGTCTTCGGTGCAGTAACGAATGTTTAAAACACAAGTCTATTATACTGCTATAAAATTAATATTTTGCCCCAAAACACATCTACTCTCCTGTGCTTGTTGACCTACAACGGAACCTTTATTATCGGAAGGTATGGTTTCTTGAGAAATAGTCCGCATTAACGAATGCCCGGATTAATTAAAAATGGCACTTCCACTTGAGAGTGTCACCAGTGGTATCGATGTTTTCTGATTAACAGGATCCTGACTAAATAGATATAATTTAGTCTATTGCCAAACTGGACTGTCTTCAACAACCTCACCGTGGTGATCGTTCAGATTATCAGAGCACAGTCTATGACATTCGGGGTCCGATGCTCTCCCGCTCAAAACGCATAGTTCGGGACAAGCTGTTAAACAATGTCGAGCACAGCGCTCTTGTAGCTTCCCATACCGTT